GACAAAGTATTGGCCCAGCCCGACCCAGTGCTCTGGCTCCGCCCCTGTTCACTAAAGCACTTGGCAAGACTCCATTCCACACTCTTCTACGCAAGTTGGGCATTTTAAATCCTCATGCGCCAACTTGAGGGGGGGTATTAGGAGATATTTTATTTTTAATAAATAAGGCTAGTTTTCTATTGAGGGTAGAAGTTTATTTACATTAAAATTGTTTCCTTGTTAGTGATTTACCGATCCTATTTGATCGGCTCTGGCTCTATATTTATTCGGGCCGATTTGGCCTTTGGCAATAGAGAGAATTTTTCATCTCTTTATACTACTCTTCCAAATCTTCCGTAACTCAATAGAAGCCGTGGAGACACACTCCATTACCCAACCAATAAACTGTAAAGGGAAGCCCAAACCCTTAAGAACATTTTCCAAGAAATCCCACGAAATAGTATCATAAGCCTTGCGCAAATCCACCTTGATCATACATCTAGGTGAGATTCGCTTCCTCGTGTATCCTCTAACAAGTTCCTGGGCCAGGAAAATGTTATCAAACATGAGGCGGCCATTCACAAACGCCCCTTGGGCATGGTCAATTAATTCCGGGAGACATGGAATTAATCTTGTGGCAATGATTTTTGTGATGATTTTATATAAGACATTGGTACAGGAAATGGGTCTATAGTCCGAAACCTTAGGAGCGTGATTCGTTTTAGGGATAAGAGCAATAACAGTATAGTTAATCTGTTTTAGCAATTTAGCCTTGTCATTGCCAATATCAAAGAGGGCATTTTTAATGTCCATGGTGGTGACCGGGGCAACAAGGCGTCCATGAGCACTTTGCTCAATTTTCGGGCCCGACCCTAAAACCTCAGGGTCCAAGGCACGGCACTCAAAATTGGTTCCAAATAACTCAGTAAAAAACTTCACAAACACACTCCCGACTTGATCGAAGTAGTAATGTTACCGTCCTCCAAAGTAAGGGAAGTAAATCAAGTAATTACATTCCTTGCCAAGTTCCGTTTGACAATAGAGTGGAAATACTTCGTTCCTTTGTCCGCTTCAAGTATGTGAGTTGCTTTGACCCGTTGTCGGTAAAAACTATCTATTTATTATGTGATGCTGAGTTGTAATCGAAACCGCCCCACAATGTCGATTACTCTGTCCAGTTTCAGAAGGCCGGATAGACAGCTGAGTCAGCAAAATTAATTTACATACGCGCGCATCACTTTCTACAAAAATTATCGGCGACAAGCCGACAATATAAAGCATGCCGCCTAATTTACAGTTTTGCATTTCTCATAAAGCCTAAAGAATACACTTTTTTACCATCTTTTTCCAGAGAGACCAAAGAGTATTTTATTTTAATGTTTCAATGCTAGTACTAATTTTTTATTATAATTTATTCTGATTTTTTGTTTATGGTCAATTGGGTAATCAATTCCTTTTTTGATATTCTCGTTGCTAGATTTTTTATTCATTGTACATTTGTACTCCGTATATGAATTGCACTTGCGTTTTTTCCAAGCTTTCAATACATGTGGCTATGGTAGGATACCACTAAACATTCCTATTTTGAGAACTCGCATGGAAACATACCCCGTATAATCCGATACTTACAATGATAAATAAATTGTAATTGACGCATATGCATACGCCATTATAGTTAAACGCTTGCATATGCATGCATACGCCATTATCACAGCAAAAGATAAAAAGTTAAACAAATTTGTGAAGCTAAATTTATTAGAATTTCTTGATCAATTGTTCTTTTCGGCGTACATAAAAGGTGTATACTGTAATTTTTGTACACTTCTATGTTTGTGTACACAAATAATTGATGTTTTTTCTTAAAAAAGCTAACTGTGTGTACACAAGTAACTGGAGAGTGTAGAGAAAAATTGTACACTTTTTATGTAGAAATAGAATTTTTCTTTCTTGATAGTGGTTGGTCGAATTTGATGTATCCAAAGAATATACATCAAGGTCAATTTAGGTTAATTATAACTCTCTTCGTCAATAAATCAAATTCCTCATTAATTTGTATGTATACACTCCGTCAATTCAGATAAAATTTTATCCATATATCCAAGATCTGAAAGCTAGATGTGTTATCAATCCGGGACCTGAAAGATGAAATGTGTCGGTATAGACCCTGAATAATTGAAAACTATTAATTTAGTACCTAAAATTCTACAAGTTTTGATTTTTTTTAATTTTTTATTAATTAAAAAAATTAATATGAATCTTTCTCCACCATGTTAAAAGAGTGTTTCCACCATTTTAAAATATCATATTTTTGAAATAATATTCTAATTGTGTTAAATTGAAGAATTGAAGGAAAAATAAGATTAAACCGGAATCCTTTTATTTTAGCTACTGATTTCATTTGTGAGACCCTTTAGATAAAAGAATAGAATTAAAAAAAATCTAACGAATACTTAAAATAAAAATGAATTATTATTATTATTATTATTATTATTATTATTATTATTATTATTTGATGGCTTCGCTGACCCGGGATAGCAAAAACCGAGAAATACAGACTGAAAAGTACTAAGTGTAGATTGAGTAGAAAATTTAGTAGAGTAAGAGTAAGCTTGTGTGCAAGAATGGCGATCCCTTTCCACAAGTTGGAAGGTGAAATTTATAGTTTAAAAGGAAATACATGAGCATCAAGTAAAATATGATAGTCTAATAATATGACAACACGTGTAAAGCTCGATTGGTAAGAGAACATGTACATATGGCTGATTGGTATTGTAGATAACTGAATTGATTCCCTTTGTACTGGACTGTGTAAGGAAGCCATACATGTAAGCCTAAAACCCTTCTGTACATAACCGCCTAGGTGACCTTAGCCCTAGACAGTTGTCATGTTGATGATGTAACTACAACTGCTTATGCGAAACTTGGGTACTGAAAATAGCCAAGTCCATAATCTTCCCCGAGGCCACGGACTCTGCAGAACTTGAGCTCGAGGGCAGTGCATTTTCTTAAGAAGAGGTTGGCCTTAGTTCACTTATGTGAAGTAATCAAAGCTCTTCTTAGTTTTTTGGTTTTGTGGGGCCCTAGTTGACTTGAAGCTCGGTCGTATATAGGATTGGAATTTGATGTTGACTCTGGTGGGCGTTGAGCTCGTTCTCGGATACAGTTTTGGACTTATCTCGATAATCTTAGGACTGATTTGGGAACTGACCACGATGGGCTCGGGCTCGAATGTAGTTGTGGACTTATCTTGATGATATGAGACTACTTATCAGGGAACCGACCTCAGTGGACACGGGCTCAGCCTTGGCGGGAAATGACTTGGTGACTTATGGAGATCATTCATCATTTGTAAGTGTTGATAGCCCCGGGATATATGAGAATATACTCCATCATTGGAATATATTTCAATTAACTAACTTTTGAATCATAATAATTCACAATACTAAGATTTTCAACACTAAATACAATAAAATCTTATTGTATACGTTAATGGCATTAATTCACAATACTAAAAATTTTAACACTAAAAACATGCACTAATTCATTACGTTAATGACATTAATTCACAATACTAAGATTTTGAAAATCTAATAATACACAATAAATTAACTAACATTTAAATTAAATGAAATTCAAATAATTCACAATAATAATTCATTGACCACCTAAAAATTCACACTAAAGTAATGTTTAAATCCTAACTTAAATCATTATAAATCCTAAATTAAAGGCATTAACAATAATTGCTAAAATTTAGTGTATATTTCTAAACAAATTTCAAATAAACATTTTAATTAACAAAATGTGAAAGCCATTTTAATTGAATTACTATTATTATTAATTAAAACTCTTAAATGTTTTTGACTAAAAGGCACAAACAAACCTAATATTTTTAAAAACCCATTTGAATTAAATAATATTTAAATTTAGCTAATATTATTAATTGAAATCCTAAATTAACAGTATTACCAATATTTGAAAATTTGATATACATTTCCAAACGAATTTCAAATATATGCACAATAAATTATAATATCACTAACATTTGAAGTTAAATATATTGTTAATTAATTAACAACCTCACTAACAATTTTAATTATTTGAAATGAAAAAAATTAATATTTAGCATTAAAAAAGATACATAATTCAAATGACAGAACTTATCTGCATAGGTAGGGAAAATGACATAACATTACATCCTTCAATCTTTCAACAGATATTGTATTATACTCTGATTGAATTTCAACTGGTATGAGTTGAATAAAACTGTTCTTGCATATATAAAACACTATGTCACGGACTTTGTCACGGATTGTTCCGTGACAAGCTCTATCAGTACAACATTCATTCGGTGATCGTTGGAAATAGCGATTATTGACTTTGTCACGGATTTTGTCACGGATCCATCCCTGACAAACGGAAAAAAATTAATAATTTTGTCACGGATTTGGTTCGTGACAAAACGTCGGAATAAAAAAACATACGCCGGCATAAGTTTTCGATCACCGGAGCTGTGTTGTCACGGAAAACGTTTGTGACAAAGGTTTTTGGTGACATGGGAGATAAATTCGTGACAAACCTGTCACAGACCAAATACGTGAAAAAAATCCGTGACAAAAAACCCTACTACGTATTTTTTTGTAGTGAGGGGGGCTGGGGAACAATGACAGGTTGGTGCGGTGGTGATGGCCTAGACAGGGGCGGCGACAGTGGATGTGGCAAGGGCGACGGTTGTGTACAGATCAGGGACGGTGGTGTGGACAGGGTGGAGGCGGGACATGGACGGAGGTGGCGGCTCGGTTCGGTGAAAGGACGAACGTGTTAGCGACAAGCGCCATATACAGTTGAAATCTAAGATGTATTACAATTCGCCGAAAAAAGTCACTGGAAAATTTTCCAATGATCACAGTGACATGTTCCCCGGTGACACTAGGCTAGTAACATTCAAAAGTGACATAAAAATCTAGTAGAGACATATGACAATGACAAAAAATAATTCACAGTAACGTCATGTTTTTTCAAACATGTGACCTTCTTAGTCACTTTTTTGTCCTTTTATAAAAATGTTTACATTTTTGGAAATTGACTATAATTTAGAATATTCGAGGAAAAAACACATAAAAATAGTGTATGAATATCATTTCCAATATTGCTTTTCTTATTTCCACTCACATGCAAGTCACAGTATCATTTGTAAATACATAAATTCGGGTTGACAATGGTAAAACCTCCATCAACAACCATGTTTTCCCCATTCAGATACCTCGATTCGTCACTTGCCAAGAAAAGCGCCGCCTCCGCCACATCCTCCGCCGTGAGCTCCTCCCCTTTGAACGTTGAATAGACCTTACTCAACTCCTCCGCCGGCATCTTATAGTACCCCTTGGTCAACGGCGTTTCCAAGAGATGCGGCGACAAACAGTTGACTCGGATCCCGTACCGTCCCAGATCCACCGCCGCGTTCCTCGTCAGCCCCACCACGGCATGCTTCGAGCTCGTATACCCGTAGGGCGCTACGCCGCCGACGACGGAGGCGACGCTGGCCGTCGTGAGTATGCTGCCGCGCCCATTAGGGATCATAGCCCGGGCGGCGTGTTTGATTCCGAGGAATGTTCCGACGAGGTTCACACTAATGACCCGCTCGTAGTCGGACTTCTCTTCGTCGAGAATGCTGTCCCGGAAAGTCCCTCCGATTCCGGCGTTGTTGTGCATGATGTCGAGCTTGCCGAACTTAGAAACGGCGGCGTTGACCGCGTTGACCACATCTGGCTCCTTCGTCACGTCGCAGTGGACAAACTCGGCGTCTAGGTCGTTGCATACTTTTTGTGCTAAATCGTCCTGAACGTCGGCGATCACCACCTTAGCCCCGTGCCTCGAAAAAAGCCTCGCCGTCTTCTCGCCAATATAATTCCGCTGGCGGCGCCGGTGATCAGCGCCACCTTTCCTTCCAGCCTAACAAGGAGATTTACGTTTTTAAATTGGACAGTTTATGATACTCCGTATGATCAGAGTTAATTAAAACTTAAACCACATTTATTTGGAAGAATCAAGTTTCACAATAAAAAAATATAACAGATCAAAGGAAGTTCCTTCAAAAAACTTCAATTACTAATGTAATTTTTTTCTAGCTTCCTTTACTTCTATTGTATTGTTAATCATCTGTACTTCCAACTATGTATTACTCCGTAATAAATTAGGGAGGTGTTCCGGCAGCGCGGCACCCCCATGGTTTGAACGGGGAAAAATGTTGATTACAATTTGAACAACAAATGTCAACTTTGACCAATTATAACTTTTCAAATACTATACTCCCTCCAGTTTTTAATTAAGTTCCTAGTTTGACTTCACACATATTAAGAAATAAATTTGACTTTACCGTGGAGTGCACTGTTTGAACACTGTTTGACACTGTTTTGGTGTAAATTATTTGTCAAATAAGGAAAGGTTTGAAGTAGGAACTTTAATATGGATCATCCCAAAACGGAAAGTAGGAACTTAATTACGGGACAGAGGGAGTATATACTAATCAAAATCATGGTCTAAACTATAACACTATTAATTAATCTGAAAAGTGAAAGATCGCAAAATTTTAATGAAGTATATATCAGTATATCACAATATCTATGTGTACCTTCTTGCAAGCCCGGATGCCATTGGATCAGTCCGGGTGAAGGTAAAACGCCTATAACGACCACACAAGAGGAGAACTTGATAGAGTACTTGAGCGAATTGGAAATGACAAGATATGTTGAAGCGCAGAACTAACACGGCTCTTATATACACCACTCCACCCGTATAAGGGGGAATTTCAAATCTAGGACCTTTGAACTTTTGGTAGTTTGCATCGAGATCCTCAATTTTTTCACTATTCATGAAATATCAGCTTTAGCTTATAGGAATTTTATTATGATATTTTTAATTGAACTAATTTAATTTTAGTGTTTTTTTTGCAAGACTTTGTTTTTTTAAATTTCAGTGTTTTGTTAAAATTGATCTAGTGTGGTCTAATTTAAAAGTTTATTCTATTGTGATCTAATTTTATTTGGTCTGATGTGAAGTGAAAGTGGCAATCAATCCAATTAAAAACATACTTCCTCCATATCATTTTATTTGTCTTACTTTCCTTTTTGGGTTGTCCCAAAATAAGTGTCTCCTTTCCTTTTTTGGAAAGAAATACGTGGTTCACAACATACATTTCATTTTATTATACTCATTCTCAACCATAACTTTTACCTTTTAACCACTTTATTAAAACTTGTATCAAAATTAAAGGAGACACATAAAATGAGATAAAGGTAGTATAAATTAAAATGTAACTAAAGTTTTTAATTTGTACAAGTGTATATGCTTCAAAAACTAAAGTTTTTAATTTGTACAAGTGTATATGCTTCAAAAGCTAGAAAAACATCGGGTCCAACTCGGTACGTGAATGTCTCATGTAAATATGTAATGATTCCTCCTACACAATATGACCACGACTGACTTTTATAGTTTCAAACATGGACTTTCAGAATCGCGCCCGCAGTGTTTGACTAAAGAGGTAAAGCAATGTCGCAACCGGATTTAGAGCTATAACACTGCAAATCTGCAATCGGCCGGAACCTTCGTCAACACTCTTTTTCGGCTTATCAGGTTTATTGTCAACTTTTTCGCACGCTGAATTGTGTAATAATAAGAAAAAGTAAGGTTGAAGTTACTTTTCTGATTGTATTGGCTGGAGTTACTGTAGATAACCATTTTAACTATTTTTGCATATAATTTTTTCTTTATTTTATTATTAAAATATATTTTAAAAATATGTTTTTTAATCAGCAGAATCAGCCAATACAAGTATACAGCCACTTTAGCCAGAACTTCATAAATTTTAGCAGAATCAGCTGAATCAACTGATTTTCGTGTTACCAAACGAGCTCTGATTTTGTTGAACTTTACCAAGATTTGATAGAATTGACCGAATCGGTTGATTCTGCTGATTTGTCATTACAACTATATTTAAAATACTATGTACATTTTATTAATTAAATAAAGAAACAAATTATATGAAAAAATAGTGAAAATGATCCACTACAGTAAAATCAATCTATACAATTAGAAAAATATTTTCAACCTTACTTTTTCTTATTATTACTAAACCCACCGCGTGAAATCAAAGTTTGAAATCAAAGTTACAGTTAATAAGCACGATATGGTGTCCTATTTATATAGGTAATTGTAATTATTTGTAGCAATATTCACAAAGGATACATGTAAACACCTCAAATTTAGCAAAAACACGCAAGGGCGTAAAAAATGAAGAAAAGAGAGTCAACAGTCAAATTAGGCCAAGAAATAGCACTTCAGGACCAACTACGAGCGTCAAAACGAAACAAAAAGTCAAAAATTACACAAAGGGGGAGAACCCGCGCCAGTCTGCCCTTAAAGTCGGCGCCGGTCGTGTACGTGTTTTTGTTTTTTATATTCAACCACGCAAAAGTGAATCGGCGTCGGCCCAACATTATAACCAGCGCCGGTTACACTATTAGTGTGCGGGAATGCAGTGCTGAAGGAGACCCGGCGCCGGTTTGGTCAATTTCTGCACAAAACACAACGACGTGCAACCTATTCTTGATGAGAAAACTTCACCTTTCATATGAGCTGATCAACAATTTCTTCCATGCCTGATTGTTAGGTTCGAATAGACTAAAAGATGTCATTCTTTACCCTATATAAAACCCTCAATTCAGTTTTTATATTTTATTTTTGCATTCTCTTGAAGAGGCAGAGAAGAAATCATTTGTCTCCTCTATAATTAGTTCTAGGTAATATTCCTTGTAGGTTATTTTCTTTATCTTAGTTACTCTTTTGTAATTAATATGAGCTCAAGATCAAGGCTAAATTCTTATCCAAGGCTAGCGATGAACCTTACACATACTAGGTGTTCGATAAAAGTTCTCAATCAATAAATGTGATTTATCATTTATAATTCAAGTGTGTATTACTATGGTGATCAACATGGAATTATATTAATCTTGTTTAATGCTTGCAATGAAAATATTGTGGAAAAAACAATAAAGGATAAACATGTATAGAACCCATAATAGAAACATTTCTGGTCTTATAGGATCAGGGCCGTCTTTAGTTGGTTTGGTGCCCTAGATAAAAACTAGAGTTACATTTTCATTATTCATACCGTATTAGAGCCCGTTTGATAATATCAAAATTTGCTGAATCGATTGATTCTTCTGAAACTTGTGAAGTTTTGATTGAAATGGTTGGATTGACAGATTATATTTAAAAGGCTAAAGAGTCAAATAGGCCCTTGATCTGACTTAAAGTGTTCAATTAGCCCCTTATATAGAAAGTTCTGTCCGGCCCGTCGCCAATTGGGGCGGTTCCCGGTGGAATTTTTTGATGAAATTTTTTGAGCATCTTCTTCATTAAGTCTAGTTTACCCATACCAAATTTCAGGTAAAAATTCAACTGGGATGGCAGTCAAATGATTTTCCGAAATGTACTGTGTTGTTTAACTTCGCAGTTACCTTCAAAAAATCATTTGACTGTCTTTCCGATTGAATTTTTAGCTAAAATTTGGTATGAGTAAACTAGACTTAATGAAGAAGATGCCCAAAAAATTTCATCAAAAAATTCCAACGGGAACCGCCCCAATTGGCGACGTCTGCCCAAACCGCCCCAATTTAATCGACACACATCTCCCGTTTCTTTTTCGACGAACATCGATGAGCTCCCTCATCGTTCGTTTCTTCTTCTGCAATGGGTCACCGCCGCCGCCGTCCCTATCGCTGACGCCGCACCCTTCTGCCTTCATCTCCGACGCTGCCTCCATTTTAATCTTCTCTTCTTCTATTCCCTTCATCTCGCGACACGGCCGTGTGACTAGGGCTTCGATGCAGCGCCGCGAATCGGGCCAAGGAGAGGCAATTTGGGTGCGATGCGGCTAGGACGGAGAGGCGCCGGTTCATTTCGCTGCTCTTCTCCGTCGTTGGCCCGTTGCAAGTGTGCGGGGAGCATGGGCGTGGTGTGGGGGCAGTGGTTGTACAGAGGCTTGGGAGGGAGATGGGATGGGAAGGGCTGGGAGGGGGTGGAAAGTGGCTGGATCGGGCAGGGAATATGGCTAGGCTGGGGAGGGGGCTGGCGATGGTGGTGGGCAATCGGCAGTGGCGGGAGGTGGTGTTGGCAGTGGCCGGAGGCGGTGGTTGGCGGTTGTCCTTATCGGACTCGGTACGGGTAATTGGGATAATTATAAATAGCCAAATTGGGTAGCTGTAATGGATCGGTAGGGTAATTGTAATCGACGGATTGTGTGACTGTAACTGGAGGGTCAGATAACTATAACAGATAGATCAGGAAATTGTAAATTGTAATTGGTGAGTCGGGTAACTATAATTAACAAGTCAAGTAAATATAACTGACGGATAAGGTAATTGTAACCGGTTGGGTAATCGGTCATTGTACTGAGACAGTGGTCACTAGAGTGATAGTTACTGAGACGGTGGTCACTAGAGTGATACTAACTGGGATGGTGATCACTGGGCGAGGTCATTGGTCGTCGATTCACTATGTTGGGCGAAAAGGTTGATCACTATGACTGGCAGTGATCACTGGAGCGGTAGTAATTGTGACGATGATCACTGGAGCGGTAGTAACTAAGACGGTGTCACTAGAGCGGTAGTGACTGAGACAGTGATCACTGAAACGGTAGTAACTGAGATGATGATCACTGGAGCAGTAATAACTGGCTTGATCACTGGGGCGATAGTAACTGAGACGGTAGTTACTGAAGCGATAGTAACTGAGATAATTTTCACATAAATTTTGATGTAATAATTTACAAATTTAACCTTTCCATATCTATATATTTATTTTTGAGAAAGAAAATTAAAATAAAAACAAACATTGTTTTTACGAAAACAAAAATGATGTTTGTACACACTCTTATACCCACTTTTGTACCCACCTATGTTTGTGAAGTGTTTTTTTCCTGTGAATCCCAGTTCATAGACAGTATTTTGTACAAACAAAATATTGTCTGTGAATCGGATTCACAGACAAAAAAACACTTCACAAATATAGTGGGTATAAGGTGGATATAAAAGTGAGTACATCAAGCATTGTTGTTACGAAAATGGAGTTACGCAAATGAAGGTTGGATGTTCAGTTCATTGGCGGTACGTACTCTAGTGTGATCTCATTGCAAAGTTGTCTGGATGCACGGTTGAGAATTAACAAGTGGTACGCACTCTAGGAAGGGTAATATAGACAACAACGTATTTGTTAATCACATTTGTGGAAACTAAAAAAAGGTCTCTTTTTTGTCTATTACTTACTCCGTACTTTTTAGTAATATTCATGTCAAAATCCCTAGTGTTTATATGTTTAGCTTTTCTTTCAATAGTCACGTTTCTATTTAGTATTAGAGCATACAGTGTGCTAGATACTGATTACACTACTTCGTATATAACAATAATACGTAGTAGTTTTGATTTTAAAATTGATGCCCCATATTAGCTGGGTGCCCTAGGCATATGCCTAGGTGTCTTACTCCTATAGCCGGTCCTGTATATGATACAAGTGTGATGTCTTGATATTCAACGTTATTTTCGATAGATGAATGTAAACTATAACGGGAATTACATGTAACGAAAACTACGCTCCTGTTACCTTAACCGGAGTTGGAAATATATTAACGACGTCGTATTCATAATTGTTGGTAAAGAATTTGAATCAATACTAGTAAAGAGTGTTTAGAT